CACAGAAAAAACGCACAATGTGAGAGAAAGAGAGAGAGAGAGAGAGAGAGAGAGAGAGAGAGAACGTACCATGGAGCGTTCGCAATATGCGCACAGAATTACACGCGTTGCCCTATTTTATTTTGTCTTGAATCTTTTGCTAAAAACCCAGATGAGATTGAGATGAGCTCCAATGGATGTCGAGTCCAAGATCAGACTGTGGCGACCTCAGCGAGAGAAGAAACAAAGTCAAAGTGCGCCTAAACAAACTGCATAACATGGTAAAAAATTATTCATAATTTAATTTAAGTACGTGGCAAGTAGGGACAGGAAAATCTAACTATACTTATATTAAAAGTCAACCCATTTACTATAATTAGTAGAAAAAAAAGTCAATTCATAATTAATTGAATACCATATTGAAAAATTTTTAGATATTTTAATCATAAAATAGGATAAATGCCCCTAAAATTATGGGTTTTGTTGAATTTATTTTTAAAAATTTCGACAGATATTGAAGTGAATATAAAATTCAAAATCTCTTCTCATTTTATTTTTAATAAAATCTGCATCCAAATTTACGTGTGGTTTTGAAGTGAAAATTTGAAATTCAAAATCTCTTCTCATTTTAGTTACAAGAAAATCGAGCTGCATTCAACACTTAGAGCATCTCCAATGCTATAGCTTTGAAAGACAATGATTTTTAACACATGTTAATCAATGATTGTAATGTTAATCCACATATGAATAATGTTAAAAGAATGAAAATTTCAATCAAACTAGTATCTCCAATCCATAACTTTGATAAGAAGTTATTTGTATAGGTGGACCAATTAAAATAATTCATTGATACAAGAATAATAAAAAATTAAATCAAAATTTAAGTGAATTGATGAGTCATCATGTTTAACATGGTGTTAGATATTAGAAAGTGGACTCAACATTGTTAACATTAAATGTCATCCACCTCATCATGAAAGAGTTCATGACAATATGCATTGGAGAATAAAATTAGTACGACACTTTCAAAAGTTGATGATATGAATGATTTTTTCTAATGTCAAAAGTGACATTGGAGATGCTCTTAGACTAATTTAAAAATTATTCCTTAAATGAAGGAATTTATAGATAATTGTTATCTCTACTCAATCAGATGATTATTTTCAATATAAAAAGAGACAGATTAGAAATTAGTGAATCATATATTACCTAATTCAATATCTTAACATTAAAGAATAAATTCATAGTATTATGTAAATCCATATATCATATTATTATATCATTAAGATATATTATAATTATATTATCAAATCATAAAAAGATATTAAATCCATATTGTTAAAAAAAATAATTCATATAATTTTATAACAATTCTACTACACTATTTAACAGTATTTTTTTTATTATATAATAAAATAATTATTAAATATCATATAGTGAACAACAATAAGTAAAAATGTTACTTTCTCTTATATCAATGGATAAATTTATATGCTAAAATTAAATTTTATTAGTATGTTTTAGTGAGAAAATATATTAATTATTTTACAAGTTAGCCCTAACATGCTCATATTTAATATTCTGACTAAAAAAACAACGTTGGTTAAAAGATGTGGAAAAAACTTATAATAACCCTATTGTTTTTTAGACTTAACGTTGATTAAAAGAGGTAGAAAATAGATAATAACTCTATTATTTTTTAGACTTAAACGGATAAGGGTGTGAAAATAGCTCATTTAATATCTCTGTCCCGTGCATCGCACGGGGTATGTACTAGTTATATTAAGGGTGTGTTTGCATATGAAAAAATTAAATTCATATTCAATTCATACTCAAATCTAACTCAACTTCACCATCCTCAATATTATTAATATAATTAAATAATACGAACCAATCATTATTACACATTACATCAATTTTAATTTGTTATTTATCCACTTACATAATTTTAATTAACTATCACTTTACATCATATTTCTCATACTTTTACATCAACTAACTTTGAATTATTTTATTTTAAATATTATTTTAATATAAAATCAAAATACAACTAACAACTAACCATATCATTTTTTTCAAAGTTAATTTTGGCTAACCGAAAAAACTCATTTTGAGCATTTTTATTTATATACAAACACGCCCTAAGATTCTATTAT